GCTCACAACTAGCCTAATCTTTCTAGCATTACATAATTAGACTTTAACCAAACTAAGTAACTAAATATTCAACCAAGAATACAATTAAAAAACGTGACAACAAAATGTCACAATTCCAACATAATTACCCTGTTATTCTTTAAAGTGTTATTGCTCTTCGTACCTCCTTGCACTATCCATATTTTAGACAATTCTATTAGGAAAAAACGACTCCTACTTTTCTAAATATGAATACTATTTATGATCCGTTGGTGTTGGAACTTATTCAAACTTCCACTCCTCAAAATTTAGAAGATAATGACATTATTTAGAAGGGCAAAAAAAATAGTCTCGCGTTAGCCGTGTAGAAAATTAGTTCACAAGAAAAATTAGTGATCCTAGAAAATCTTACAGTTGGTCTAAGAGGTCCATCACTCGTATCCTAAAATGGTACAGAGATAAAATGTGATTCTTATATTACTATCTACTTCAGTTCAATTTATGCATGACACCTTTGTAACATTCTTAAATGGAAAAATCTGTTTTAGCCAGTGACAGACAGTTGAGCTTTCTTGGGTAAGTAGTATCTAATTAATCAGATCCTAACTAATCCAACCGACACAGTGGTTTCTTGGTACTTAAAAAGAGGATTTATATTGATACTTTTTGTGCCAGCGATGAAGGTTCGTCAGTTGGATTGTGATTCTTCTTTGAGTTGTCAATTAAGTGCCGATAAAATTTAATATAACTTATCCATATTTTAGTGTAAAATATCAGACGAATGCTGGCTATTGAAAATGTCGTCCACATTGATTGAAATGATTGAATATGCCAAAGTTTGCACTATTTACAAGGAACTTACACTAAATATTTGTTGGAAGCTTTTGTCATTTTATGAAAAATGAAATTTCTATTTATAGGAGGATTAGCTAATACTGAAACTAAGTGTACGAGTACTTATTGAACGTTCAAATACAGGGTCCAACAGTTGAGATGTCAAAAGGAGTTTTCCCAACCGAACAATTTACTTCTGATGGAGTAAAGAGTACTGGGAACTGGGGAGGTGAGAAGTTAACAAATCATAATGCCCTCTTTGGAGGTGGGGAATGGGGTCTATCAGATTTTGATTCATTTAGCTTCAGAATGGGGTTCTTTCAGGCACAAGATAGTATAACTCAGCCAGGACTTGCCATGCCCGAGTACCAAATTGACCAACAACTAAAACAGTTCACAGATTTTGGAAGCTTTGATGATTTGTATCCTGATGTTGTCACTCCGCCTTTTCAGTCACTTGATGATGAATACAGTAAGCTTGCTAGTGTCGAGTTTCAAAATTCAGAGCCTAGTGCACCCAAGAAGAAGATACGGTATGGATTCCCTTCAGGTTCACTTGAGATCCTGAAGAGATATGGAAGCAGATGCAGAAGGTTCAACGGTGAAAAGGTTAATATGCCAAGCTCTGAGATACAATACACTAATAGTAGCGGTCCAACACTTTCAGCTGAAATAATCATTCAACTGGCTGCAGAAAAATTTATTCAATCCTGTTCTAAATGTAGTGATGAGCTTTCCATGCTTAGCCATCCATATCCAAGTTCAATTTTGGCTAACTCTGCTGGAAATTCAAAAGAGGTTCATCTTCTCCAGAATCTTCTGTCCTCTGCTGAAAAATTAGGCCAGCAGCAGTACGAGCGTGCAATCAAGCTCCTTTGTGAGAGTGACAAAATGAGTTCCAATAGAGGAAGCCCTATTCAGAGATTAGTCTTTTATTTTACTGAGGCTCTTCATGAGAAGATTGACAGAGAAACTGGAAGAATTACTCCGAAGGGTTTGGGCAAAAAAAAAATTGCAGATCCTCTAGAAGCATTGAAGTGTCGAGATTCAACCCTTATAGCATTTCACAGTGAGATGCCTGTTTCTCAGATTACCAAATTGGCAGGAATTCAAGCCTTAGTAGAACATGTAGCAGAGGCAAAGAAGGTACACGTCATTGACCTTGAGATCAGGAATGGAATACATTGCATAATTTTGATGCAAGCTCTTTTGACTAGATTCGAAAATCCTATTGAGCATCTTAAAATTACGGCTGTGGGAACAAAATCAAAGGAAAAATTAGAAGAGACGGGTAGGCGTCTTACAAGTTTTGCACAGTCCCTGAACTTGCCATTTTCTTTTGTCATTGTCATGATAGATGATATTTTAGATCTCAATAAAGACCTCTTCAAGTTAGATGATGATGTAGCTGTTACCATCTACGCAGCATACACTTTGACATCTATGATTGGATGCCCAGATAGACTGGAGCACGTGATGAGAGTGATCAAAACTATAAATCCTCATGTAATGATTTTCACAGAAATTGAGGCCAATTGTAATTCTCCAATTTTTGTGGACCGATTTGTAGAAGCTCTGTTTTACTATGGTGCATTTTTTGATTTCCTGGCCGATTGTATGAAGGATGATGAGAAAAATAGAAGGGATGCTGAATCAACATGCTTCAGTTCTGCAATAAGAAATATTGTGGCAGCAGAGGGAGAGGAAAGGAAGATTCGACATGTGAGTATCCGTGTCTGGAGGGCATTTTTTGCACGTTTTGGGTTGGTTGAGGTAGAACTGAGCATGTCATCTATGTATCAAGCCAATCTGGTGCTTAAGAACTTCAGCTGTGGGTACGCCTGCACTTTCGATATGGATGGAAAATGCTTAACTATTGGTTGGAAGGGCACACCTCTTTGTTCACTTTCTGCATGGAAGTTTCAATGATATGTGCTACATCAGGTGGAAAGTGCAGATTACAATTCCCTTTTCACTGCTCTTTCATCTATCCTATACTTCTCTGTTTTAACAGTTTCATCTATCCTATATATATTAAGGCTCATTTGTATTTGACAGACGTCATGGACTCCCCCAACTTACATACACCTTTCTAATTGAATATGAATTTGGATTTGAGTGTTCTATTTAATGTTAGTTGTTATATAATCAGCAGAAGCGTGAGTTCAAATTTCTGATTATCAATTAAGATACCCTCCTTTGAGGTCAGGGCTCCTTTACATCTGTTCGAATTTTAATCCATTTTTCGTCAAAACATGACCAGTAGAGGTAGATGAATTTGTCCAAGATTAGGCTAGTTGCAGTGATGGTTTAACATTTCTTTTCTAAATTACATCATAAGGTTGGCAGTGTGCAGAGGGAGATTTCTGTCCAATTGTAGAGCTGAATGTAACAAGAAGAATGCGGAATGATGGTGCATAATATCAAAACATAGACACGGGGGCTTGGTGTTTGAGTAGGAATAGAATTTCATTTTTTTCATTCCCAGGATTATAATGCAATGCTGAATAAACAACTAAACAATGGCGCTTGTAGAAAGTTCCCAAACTAAAAAAATTGTTTTAGATAGTGACCTTAGCTAAACTATTATTGTACATTATTCAGATCCTAGCTAATCCAAATTACATCATGTGAAGTTTCTGTAGATCTAATTGTTGGGGATTGAACCAATAACAAACAAGCAACGGAAACAACTTCAACCCCTCAATGTGCAAGAATTAAAATGGCAACAATAATAGGCAAATCCAACAACTCACACACACTGCAAGAAATATAAATTGAACACCAGATTTGTTAACAAGGAAAACCATGTGAAGGGAAAAACCCCGGGACCTAGTCCAGTAAAAGAGCGATCCACTATGAAAATAATGGGATACACAATAAACCCTCTCTAGAACACTCCAGAGGCTCCCAATACATCAAGAACACATATAGTTCTTGGATATCAACACCAGTATCATCATAAAGATAAATGCACACTAAAACAAGAAAAATCTCATAGAGGAGTGTGCAAAGCCCAGACAAACGAAGACGAATTTGAACGATCAGCTCGGTCAAAACGTAGCCCTCTTCGCCAGGAACAACATACTAAAATTCCACTTTAATCGGATCACAAATGGACCTTCGATCTTTGGCAA